CCCCAAAACCCCAAAACCCCAAAACCCCAAAACCCCAACTAGTCATCCTAATATAATATTTGTAAAAAGATGAAGGTAAGGGTTGCTTGATCCCACCAATTTCCAACTCTAAAGTTAATTACAAATACTCACTTTGGGGCTGGATATAGCCCAATGCTGATTCCAGCTCCTAATGTAAAGTGTGAAATTCCATTGAAAACCTTATAAACGAAGTTTACTAAAATAGGCGTGTAACCAAATTTTGAATTTATAAGAAATCTGTAGTTCCTAGGATAAAAACTGTGAGTTTTCAAATAGGCTTCTTGGAGTAAATACACCTGAATTCTTGTGTCTAGTGCGAATTCTCAAAATTATTTTTGGACTGCAAGATAAGAAACTGTTAATGCGAATATACAAATACTTTATACCTTAATTTTTATGCTCATTTGAACAATTTTAAAAGTTAATAAGAAATTTCGGAATTAATTTTAAGATAATGTAAAGAAAATGTATTTCACCATTTCTGTACCCCAGAGTGCTAACAAAGTTAATTTGTTCATGATACTATTATAATTCAAGAACTGGATGATTTTTTCAGTCGAATTTCATGGTTGGAGATTTCATCTTGTCAAAATCGCATTATTTAAGAATTTAACACTTTTATTATTTCACCCATTTATATATAGGTTATCATATTTCTGTTATCAGTAGTGGCATCCTCTATGTGTTGACAAGATGGGTACTATTCATTCAACAATGGATGCAAGCCATGCGATTCCTCATGAAAGACTTGATCCTCAGATGCAAGTTGAGACACTTGTGAACTTTTTATGCAACTTTCAGGTATCAGAATATGTAAACCATAATATAGCTTCTAATTTTTGAGAATATTGTCCAGATGGAGAATACTTCGATTTCACTTCCAAACTTTGCAGAAGCTGTCCTAGCACTTGTGATGGAGCTTGAGCATATCAGAGTAGCTGATTTGAGTGTCCAGTTGATCAGAGTTTAGATTTGAAGACTTTGGAATGAGTTGATAGTTGTGACTCACTAACTCAGGTTGAACTAACTGGCTTACAAATCTCATTTCCGAGTGTTTGAAGAGATTTTGAATATTACGTAGATCCTACTTCCACTGAGATTATTGAACTTGGAACTCAAAAGTATCCCTACAGAACATTGAAATCAGTGACATCAGAGATCCTAAACTACCTATCTCACCAGCAAACTGAAGTCATGATCTACATCAAAGATGCTTACCTTGAAGATAAAACCATGTTCTTAGTCAACATCACTAACGTAAAAATCACAACCCATCCTAGCTACAGCTCATGAGGCCGAAAGGCTACTCTTACTCTTACTGAATTCTCCCAACCCTCACTCAGCGCCAAGGCCAAACTACACCTTCTGACCCACACAGACTTGCCCATCGGCACCATAATCTCTTCTGGTTCCTTCTCACCTTATGAACTGTCCCAAGTAGCCTCCTTCAGTAAGTCTCCTTCTCAAGCATAGGCTCCAACTTGGCTGTGCGGTCAGGGCTCGAGATCTCGAACCTGAAGTTGGTCAGAGAAGAAGTGGACGACCTGAAGAACACTTTGTTCATGAAGGGAGTCTTCTTGCAACAGAAAGCTTTTAAGTTAGGTAAGATGAGGTTCATATTTTAGATAATGTTGAAATCAGGATTAGTGGCACTTTGTTCACGACTGTTGATCCCTTTGACCTGTAAGTGTGAGGGTAGTTGGGGGCTTTGAGAGTGCGATCTAGGTCGATGATGCTTTTGTTTGTATGAGCCTTTTCACTCTCTAAACTTCTATAAGCAAATTCATAATGCTCTCTAATTTTGTTTTGAGAGGTTACTTTTGAATAAATCATCTTCTTCTCCTTGATGTCTATCAAATCAAGTCTTCACACTTTCCATAGAATAATTCGTGACACAGTGATCGACATGTACACACTAAGAGATAGTTTCATAATATTTTTCGGATGTAACTACCCAGAAGCCCACAAGAACTCCGTTGTCGACATTCAAAATTACACGATGATGAACTCCCAAGAGAGAACTCTATCATCGAATCCATCTGGGATTGGAACAAATGCCCCTGGAAACTGGACCATTAGAAACCTCGATGCAACCCAGTTTTATGGAACTTTAAATGATCTAGTTATTGCTATTGGAGTTTTCATATTTCCTTACTGAATCCCTGAAGACGATTTAATCAGAACTATATAGACATTGATGTTGCTAAGTTTAGCATCCATGTTCCAAACCCACTGAAAACGAATGGAGTCTTTGGTGATTTATCGACACCTCATTATCGGAAAAGTACCCAAATTTTTGATCATTTTGAATTCTCGGACTTCAACGGGCAGAACACTGGCTTCTTCGGCTTAACTGGAACTTCTATTGATGTATTGCAGATTAAAAATCTCAAGTTGGTGGATAATTATGCTATTGGAACTTGAATGTTTGCAACTTATTTTGGCAAAGTTATATTTGGAGATCCTTCTGCAAATGAGACAAATGTTCACATTGAATCACTTTTCATGTATCAAGCTTCAATAGTCATAATTCAAGATGTTTCTCATTTTGAGTTGCATAATGTCGAGTTCATCAACTTTACTGGATCTTCGATTAGTTCACTTCCTTTTTATCAGTATATCTGATTGCAGCCGACTGTATTCAAAGTTAAGTCTATAAAGGCAACTCAGTCTAACTTTGGGACCTCACCAATCTTGTCAACAAACCTTCCAGCTAGCTTAGTAACCATAGATGGCTTTGAAGTTACTGAAAGCCTTATGGATCCTGCTAGCTGCTTAATTCTTCTTAGAAATATCAAAAGCATCCAGTTTAACACAGGAAGAATTTCTGGAGTCACTGTTTCTAGTCCAAGCGATGTGAATAGTGCAATTCTGAAGATTCAAGAATACAGTTTGGATAATAGCCTGAATTCGACAATTAGTAATTTTGAAGCATCCGACAGTCAAGTCTCACTGTTCAACATTGAGAAGTTGTCTGGAAGTGCACTGGAAGAGCAGATTTTTGAATTTACAAATATTTTTGTGCATGACATGGTCATTCCGAGTTCAAGAAGTCTCATTGATACAACTGGTTTTGTAGGCACTGGAGACCTCAAAGTCATAATGAATAACCTCGCCTTTGTAAGAGTGAATTATACCAGAAGTGGAAATAATCTCAAATTCAGTCATAGTCTAGATAAAGAAATCATTGTCAAGAATTCATACTTCAGTAACTCTGATTCCTCATCGATACTCCTGGATAGATCTGGGGATGGATCTGATGTCAGAACTGTTGTAAAATTTGAGAATGTCACATTCTCTAACAACATTGTCAAGAATAAAGCAGCTATCCAAGTTAGCAATGCAGTGAAACTAATTTTAGTTGATTCTGTGTTTACTCAGACAGGTTCACTTTTTGAAAGATCCACACTCTTTCATTCAGAAGAAGGCTCTGAACTTGTGATTACAAACTGAGAGTTCAGTGAGAACTATGGACTTGTAGCATCCCTGTTTACTATGGAGTCTGGGTCACATGTTCAATGTTTTAACTGAACAATTAAGAATAACTTTGCACTATCTGGAGGACTTGCTAGAGCTGTAAGCAATGGATATTTCAGCATTGTAAACTCAATGATCACACAGAATCATGCAATCCAGGCTTCAATTGCTCAGATTTTTGATGTCTCTGAAACCAGTACAGTCGATAGTTCTGAGCTGTCCAATAATAGCCCGATCACGAGTAATGAATACGAATCAGAGACGACTTCATGTTCCAAGCTGTGTTTCCTGTCTGATGAGTTTAAACAGTATGTGGCAAATGATAATTTACATAAACTGGTTGATTCCCAAGTGCTGTTTGAAGTTATTTCAGGGTCTCTTTCTGTCAGAAACAATTCAAACATTCACTCTGAGCAGCACCCAATTCTGAGCTTAATGTCAGACATTGAGATTGATTCATCAACTCTGAGAAACCTCTCGTTCGCATCAACATCAATAAAAGTGGCCACTTCAACAATTGTTCTGAACAATGTAACTTTCGAAGATATATTTGCACAAGCAAACGCAGAGCTCATACTTGGAGATATTGGAAGTGTCCTGAACTTGACAGATGTCATCTATAAATCTTCGAATGCTCTATTCTTAAGAATTTCTTCAAGTCAGCTTTATGCAAACCAAGTAGTGATCGAAAATATTCATACCCCTCAAGCACTGCTGAATATTGAGAAAGCAGAGAGGGTTTCATTGAATAATTTTGAAATCATAAATTCGACAGTGACTTCAGATGAATTGGTGCATGTCTCAAGGTCTGCTCAAGTCGAAATGGATGGATTTGTTGCAAGAAATAACACTAACAAGAATGTGATGTCGATCACCAATTCTCATGTTTCTCTCCTTCAAAGTCTCAACATCCAAAGTTCCCTAAGAGCACTAGAAATCATCCAGACTACCATTGATAGAATTAATGGGTCTACTTTCATCAATAATGGGAACATCGATTCCAGCACCGGAGGAGCTATCTTGGTGCAGAACAGCAAAGCTAGGATTGAGAACTCCACTTTCAATCACAATGTAGGCTTGAAAGGAGCAGCCATCGCTTTTGAATGTACATCTTTGGAACTTTGAGATTTATCATTGGATGGTGTTAATTTTACAAATCAGAGGGCATCTCGCCAAGGTGGAGCCATAAACTATAACTATAAACCTCCAGTTACCACTAGCTGCACATTTACAAACAATAGTGCCCAGTACGGACCTGACATAGCAAGCTACCCAATCAGAATCAGAATGACACAAGACATACACTCGGATATGAGCCTGACAAATGTAGGCCCTGGCATTGGATTGGACTCTTCAATCAAACTGTCCCTATTAGACTTTGACAATCAGACAATGGTAATGAATAATGCTGATCAGATTTCAATATTTGCAGTAGACACTCAGAGTTCTTCAGTTAGAGGCACCAACACAGTTCAACTCGATAAAGGAGTCTCAGAATTTGACTCTATCCAGTTTGTGTCTGAGATTGGCTCTAAGAATGTCGAGTATAGAGCAGTATCTAATACTATTGACAATACCAAAGTAAACAAACTCTTCGATTCCTCATTAGTGGAGAACCAGATCACTGTGGATTTCAGATTTTGTAAACCAGGTGAACACATCGATATTCAAAATATATGAACTGAATGATCAGCTGGCACTTACTCACTCAAATGGAACTCAACTTTCTGTCCTAAATGTATGAATAATGCTTTCTGACCTGGTAAAGAGCAAATACAAGTCACTTCTGGACATTGGAGGAACACTAGAAACTCTACTGAGATCAAGGAATGCTTAAAATCAGATGCCTGTAAGGGAGGGTTCGATCCTGACTCCACCCACCCAGTTGAATGAGCAGAAGGATACACAGGTAACCTCTGAAGCAAATGAGTGGTCACCAACGATGTAAAGTATGCACGAACTGGAGATTATGAATGCTCTAAATGTCCTAATGCAGTGTTAAATGCAATCAGAGTCATAGGAGCTGCTCTTCTAGTGTTTGCATTTCTATGTTTCATGATTATTATCAACATCAGGAAGACAAAAGAAAGTAATTTGTCTGTTCTTTTCAGGATTCTGACTAACTACATTCAGATTGTGTCAACCTCAATCAGCCTGACTGCCAACTACCCAAGCTCTGTGACATCGTTCTTTTCTATAGTCGATGAGATTGGATCTTCAAGTGAAACTTTCCTGTCATTTGATTGATTCATTGAAGACCATGAAGTGAAAGGTCCATTCGGTTCAAACTCAGTGTTCAAACTATTCTTGATGGGTCTGTTGCCTATTATTTTATTTACATTGGTTGCATTGATATGGATAATTATCAAAGCTATCAAGCCTTCCTCAGTAAAAAGCCTTGAGAGAAATTTTGTTATATCCTTCATTTCGATCTTATTCTTGCTGCATCCAACAATCACTGAACAAAGCTTTGGACTGTTTAGGTGTGTGGAGATTGATGAAGGAGTAAATAAAGTTAGAGTAGATATGGATATAGAATGATACTCTGCAAGACATCTAAAGTATTGCCTGATGATAGCAGTCCCAATCATTCTTATTTGGGTAATATGCTTTCCACTCATTGCTCTGGTTCTGTTGATAAAGTATATCAACAAGCCTGGAGAAAATAAAATCAAAGTTTACTTTTTAATCCTGTTCCAAGGATTGAAGAAATCTTCATTTTATTGGGAGTTTGTCAACACAGCAAGGAAGATATCTGTGATCATCACCTTCCCTTTCAACACGACTACAAGGCTATTCTGTGCTTTGGTCGTTCTAATTGTATTCACAAGACTAAATAACACTTTAAAACCCTACAAAGAAGAGGCTTTCAACTCGCTTGAAATCCTAGGCTCAAATGCAGGAATTGTAATTCTAACTGCTGGTCTAGTATACTCCCAAGACGAAGAAGTAAACTCCCTCAACACCATAATGATGATCATAATGATAGCCTTCAACTTCTACTTCATCCTGGAATGGACTTACCAATTCCTAAACCTATACCTCACCCAGTACAAACTCCTACGCCCAGTAAGCCTCCCCTCACCTCTAGCTGTCCGCCCTCCTACGAATCCTTCTCCTCAAGAAGAAACCGACCCCTCCTCCCTCAGAAGCCCCTTCCCACCCAATCAGTAAGCCCCCTACCCAACCCTCTATAGACCAACCCTCATCTCCCAGGAAGAAAAAGTCCAAGTCCAAGTACAAGCACAAAAAGTTGCTAAAGAGTAAGCATCTTAAGCAGAAAGTTAACCTCACCTCTGTAGAGAAGCATTGCAAGAAGAAGCGTATCAGGTTTGCCCACCAGTCCAGGTAAGGGAGGCATCGGATTTTAATAATACACAATATTTACGTTAGAATTAGAGGGAAAGACTCCTATACCATGTAATTCATGAATGAGTATAATTTGGACTATGTATTAAATCAATATATTAAGGATTACAGATTTTATTGCAAAAAAGCACTTTACTAAGATAACCCCCATCATTCATAAAAAGGTGGCAATGTAATATTTAGGAGAGACATGAAGAGTCCAAGAAAATTAGCCAAGGTAAAGTCAAAGCATCTTCATTTATTTAAATCTACACTCATCAAGCACGCATCGATATCGGTCTCTAATGAGCAGGATGATAAAATCCTGATCAATGCTACTACCTTAAAAGGTAGTTATTTAAAAGCGATGGTTCAAGTGATGAAGTGGCTAGCTAGGCTCCAAGACTTTGAATTTGTATTAAATTCATTTAGGATCCATCATATCTCAAGAAAGTTTTAGAAGAAGGAGTCGTCTTTGATGATTTGAGTGAAACAGACAGAGCACTTATGTTGAATAGTAATGGCTCAATTAAACTTTAGAAATTAGCACGAGAAGAGGAGGAAAACTGTTTTGGCCCTCTGCCAGGAAAAATGAATTGTCGATAGAGGGGAGATCAAGCCTAGAAGACGACATTGATTTGTATCAAGAGAATGATTTTTCTATGCAGTAAGTTCTAACATTACATTTTAGGAAAAGCATACAAGCCCCACCAATGTTTGCCAACTTAAAAGAAGAGTCCAAAAGCCATCCTTCAAGAAACAGCTTCGAAATCCCAATATCAAGCTCCTCAGACAGCCCAAGCTACAAAATCCTCGCAGATTTAATCTACGAACGAAGCAAAGAATCCAACTCAAACACCTCAAAATCCAAAAATCCAAAAACCCCAAACCCCCCAAAAAGCCTATTAAGCCCTCCAACCTCCTAACTCAACCTCTACACTCCCTCTCGGGGTTTTGGGGTTTTGGGGTTTTGGGGTTTTGGGGTTTTGGGGTTTTGGGGTTTTGGGG